ACTTTCAGATTAGTTTTATAGATATTTCATTGAAATCCGTTCAGTACTTTGACTTTTAAATCAAAATATTTTTTTTTTGTAGATAAAAATTACGTGTTAAAACTAGATGGTAGTAGGTAGTATAAATCATGTAAGAGTATACTTATATGATTTATACTACCTATTTACTACTACCAGCCAATTCTAAAAAGTTTAATATGCATTCGTCGATACATTAGTAAGTTATTAAAAAAAATATAACCTTAAATGGTTTGTAAGTATTGAATCTAAAATAATGAATAGCTCAGTCGAACAAAGCTTGTTAGTTCTGAGATGGCATTCCAGTCGAAATTTTCGAATATTTCAAATTAATGTTTGGATTATTTAAAAAAAAATTACTTGCAGGAATGGCAACGCATGGGGGCTATCATGGGCGAAACAGTATACTCTGTTATGTCCATGGTATTGCTCATGTCTATACGACGGTTACCACTTTCCATCAGGTGGGCGGTCAGCTTATTTGCCATTCTAAATTGTATAAAAAAAAAACTTGCTTCATGCTACGGGGAATGTGTTAGAGATTTTTTTTTATACCACTGAGGTGGCAAACAAACATACGGCCCACCTGATGGTAAGTGGTTACCGTAGCCTATGAACACCTGCAATACTAGAGGTATTACGCGTGCGTTGTCGATCCTGAAGAAACCTTTTTACCCCCCTTTTGAAGAACCCCATGTTGTAGTCTCTTGGGAAAACCTCGGCAGGGAGCTCATTTCACAACCTGAGTGTTCATGGGAGGAAACATCTCTGAAACCGCGCAGTACGCGACCATTGAGGCTGTAGGACATGAGGATGAACTCCCTGTCGATGGCGAGCCGTACGATGGTAGAAAGTGGCTGTGGGCATCATATTGAACAATTATTTTATAATTTTTAATATTACTGAATTAGATGTTATTTTGCAGAAGTTCAAACACTATTTAGTTAAGTAGCAAACTATTAATTTGCTTGAAGATACTCCGTTTAAAGGTGAAACACGTGTCACAAATCGTGCGTGGGCTGAATGGCGGTCGGAGATTGATGGCTAGTATATATATATATATATATATATATATATATATATATATAAGGTTAGGTTAGAACTTCTAGTAATAATAATAGCAATCAAACTTAGAATGTTAGCAGTCACAAGCATACTTTTGTTAACAGAATTAAGTAAAACAATTCTAATTTACTAACTAGTTATTGTGACAGAAAACATTTCCTTCTACGAACCTCTATTATTTTAGTTACCTAGTTTTTTTTTGATGGGTGAAAATGGTATGGTAACCGGGCCTGCACTAACGGGTCACGCTGGCGGAGCACCAGTGAAGAGTAATAGATGAAAATGAAAACAGGCCAGTTAGCCCATCAAGATGAATTTATCAGGAATTAACCATGATAGTTTCTAGGGAGAACCGCGAGGAAGTCGACCTGGTTGGGTATATTGCTAGCAATGGGATTCTCAGTCTCCATTACTAACAATCCCTTTCCCCCTTTAGTTACCTAGTTAATTAACCAAAATTATTAATTCATCGTTTAATCCAACATGACACGGCAGATTATCAACATGCCTGTTTAAGGTGAATGAGCTTAAACTATTTTAGAGGAGCATATCTTGTAATTAATTGTAGCACTTTGTTTCGAGGATCTTGTTTGTGTAGTGAATGTTGTCTTATTTATTTACTTTCACAGATAATTTAGAACTTCGTCTTATGGTTTTACCCGCGTTGATTTTTTTTAATGGATGACAATGGAATGGTAACCCTGCCTGCGCTATTTGGTATACACCGACGGGGCACCAATGAGGGATGATAAGTGAAAATGACGAGCAGGTCAGTTAGCCCATTGTGATAAATGCACCTGGTCGACCTGACGGGGTATATTGCTAGCAATGGGATTAGTAATCCGCATTACTAACAACCCCTCCCCCCTACTTGCGTTGATTAGGAAAAAGTGTCTAAATGAATATCTATGTTAGGTGGATTTGTAATAGATTACAAATGCGTTTATTTAAGTCGTTGGACACTGAGTGACCGACATATATAGGTTTACATCTTAACAGATTCGTATTTTTTACCACGAAGGTGGTAAACAAGTATACATTCCTTGTAATGGTAAATGGTCACTATAGAATACAGATGATGATAGATGAAGTACATTAAATGACATGAAATTGTAATTGACATATTGTTTTTTTATAAGAATTGTTAATTTAATATTTAAGTATTTAAAATTTTGCATGACTAACTGTGGCGAAATATGTGGACTTAGTATTATTTTATCTATCTGTATATTTACCATATTTCTTGCAAATAAATATTCATTCATTCATTCATTCATACAGACGTCTGCAACACCAAGGATGTTACTTGCGCATTGTTGACTCTAAACAAATTAAGGTTTGTTTACTTTTTTGAAGAACTTCATACTGTAGTCTTTAGGGAAAACTACGACAGGCTCATTCTACAGCCTGAGCGTTTGCGGAAGGATGTCCTTTATAGTGTAGTGACGTCTATGGCGAGCAGTGTAGTGATAAAAGGTGACTGTGGGCATCAATTCAAACATTGTTTATTTTTTATAATTTATAGTTTTTTTTTTATAATATTTTATAATATAACAATTTATAATATAAGTTAAATTTATAATGTTCGAAGTTTTGACTGGTGTGTGAGGTTACATTCGTACTTTGATCACGTGACCAGGATTGTATATATATATATATATATATATATATATATATATATTATTCTATAAACAAGTAGTATTTATATGCCAAATTTCATGAAAATTAGTTGAGCTGTTAATCCTGTAATCGGTAATAAATGACGTCATTTTCAGACATCAGCGAATAACATAGGTTATATATTTTCGAAAAGCCTATCTGTGTGAAGCCAGGTCGGATCGTTAATTTACAATATTAATAAAGACTAGTTATAATTTGGAAGCTTTTTCCATTAAAACTTTCATATTTATAATGTTTGTTGGATAGTAGGGATAATAACTAATGTAGTTATTAGTTCAACAGTTTCTAATTAACTTTTTGGATAAAGTTATTATGGATATTTTCTATAAGACATTGCCATGTGGTCCCGGCATAGATAGGCCACGCCTTCCTAAGCCGTGGGTGTCGAAAAAGATGACCAAGGGAGGGCGAGAGATGGGCAGCAGCATCCCTCTTAAAACATCTCTGTTATGTCCATGGTACTGCTCATGTCTATAGGCGACGGTTACCACTTTCCATCAGGTGGGCTGTCATCTTGTTTGCAATTCTAAGTTGTATAAAACAAAAAATCTCCAAAGCCTAACTGGGGTTGCACATCCTTTTACCAAGTGTGGCAACTACTGGCATACCCCCCTAAGGGGGAGGCTTATGTTCAGCAGTGGACAGATAAAGGCTGATTAAATTGCTGCCGTTTTAAAAAGCATATATCCTTATCTATGCCAAGCCAGTATGTGTATCAGTTTTATCGATTATATAGATACGTATAAATATGTGAGTGTGTGTGTACTGCGTCCGTGGTATAAATAACTTTTCTAAATTTATTTCCTTGTTTACTTGATGAAACACAAACAACAACATTGTTTTACTTTTTTTTATATATATAATTTTCTTTTTGATGTTTCTCTATGATTGGAATAGTATGGTCTCGGATTTTTGTGACTTTAAATAAGTTAAGTATTTTTTTTTTTAATTATGTTATTTACTTTAATTGGAACAAAACACATTCACTGATGATCGACCAGACGTTTCGTAGACACATTAGAATGAATGTATTTCAAATTTAAATTTAGAACACGGTATCGTGTTCTGGGATAACGTATCTAATGAAGCAATTCAGATTAGTAAACCAATTACTGTTAGAATTGTCATGATCAACAAAATTGTTAATTGTCCACTGCTAAACATAGGCCTTCCCTATAAGAGGTGTTTTGCCAGTAGTTGCCATGCTTGGCATGCGGGTTGGCAAACGCAGTTTGGCGATATTTTAAGAGGGGCGTTGCTGCCCATTCCTCAACTATTAAGTTTCCTTCGTCGTCTCTTACGATACCCACGGAAAAGGAAGGGAAAACCCGTTCTATACCGAGATCACATGGCAATTTACCATCAGAACTGTACCTTATTAGAATGACCTGCATGCTATTTCCCATCAAAACCACCATGGTTAATTCCTTGTTAATTCGTTTAAATAAATGCATTTCATTCTCACATGTGCCGTAACGTAATCCGCCAGCGTACACTGCTACCGTTACATTTATATATTCATCGATTTAAAAAAGCAAATTTATAGAAGAAACTGTCCTTATAGGCTTTATTCTAATAAAGCTACTAGCTTTTACCCGCAACTTCGTCCGCGTGTCAGAAGTATGAATATTGACCAGGTTAATAAGTAATCTATATCCTTCTCGATTCCATATTGAACGTGTATACCAAATTTTATAGTTATTGGTAAAGCGGTTAAGGCGCTACAAGGTAACAAACAAACTTACATTCATATTTATAATATAACTAGCGGCCTAGTACGTGCTTTGCTACGTATAAAGTGAAATAATAAAAAAAAAATATTAACATCAATTTCATTTATTCAAACAAAAAATATTTTATTAATTGCTATCTATTTTAATTGTACTGTCAACACTGAAAAAAATTCAATTTGACAGCACAATCCCCATCTTAAAAAAAGTTTCAATTTGACACAAAAATCCCCATTAACAAAATGATCCGCCATTTATTGAATTCATTTGTTACAAAAAATGTGATAAATGAAGAACCGCTCGACCGATTTTGTGCAATCTTCACATAAACCATCTACTAAATAGTCCAAATAAAGCACATTTGGTTTGGATAGGTGAGCCCGTTCTTGAGTTATAAAATTATAACGAAAAGTAGCATTAATTTATATATATATAGATGTTACCTGTGAAATTTGTAAGGAAAAGGATTTTTTTAAATAAAAAGCTATAATAAAAAAATGTAAAAATAATTTATTAAATATTACACTACTTTGTACATGATTAATAATATTCTAAAACTAAGATAACTTACAAACAAATATTGATAAATATAAAATTATTTTTGTGGGATGAGAAAATTTAAATATAAATTAAAAAATGCCCGCCAGCCCACCTTCTGGAGTTTATTGAAAATTTATCAAGTTTTTTAAGCTTAATTATTTTAAACGTCGAGTTACTAGGTCACTTTATTCCATGAATAAAAGTGAGCTAAACTATTATCTTCTGACAAATGATGTTATAATTATTTTAATGAATAAATAAATAAAATTTTTGTTTTCTTTTCTTTATTCTTTATTGTACATAAAATATAATGTTAACCGCAATTTATTTTAAAGGCGAGCTTATCTCTATTGTGTATTTTTTTTGCATTGTGTATTGTTTTGTGCATTTTTTTTGTACATAATTTTTTTTTGTATAAAAACATAAACGAAGTTCATCGTTTAAGTTTGTGCATTCTTTTTCATAATACCCAAAGTAGACTTCCTGTTTAGTTTGTTAAAAGAAATCTAATATTCAAATACTAATGAGTAGTATATTTAACATATACAATCAAAACACTGGTAAATTAAAAATAAAAGTCAAAATTATCTTTATATAGATTAAAAAAAAAAACCTAAAAAATAAATAAAATAATATCTATTTACAATTTTCTCAATTTGAGAAAAAATATTTTATTTAAATTTACAGTTACGCTAATAATATCACTATTTCTATTTACAATTAATTTAATCTGGTACTATACAAGAGTGCTTCATTATATTAAACGAGGTCTATAATTATGTTACAATATAATTTTCTTAATTTGACAAATATATAGTACTTTTTTTTAAACTCAATTTATTCTAACTAGTGATCGCCCAATGGTCGAAATTCGACTACAATTAATTTAAATTATAAGTTTTAACATTATTAAGGTTCTATCGTCAAAGAATATATTATACATATATAATGTGTTTGATATTCAGCAAGACTATAATAGTACATATGTGCGTACGTACAAATGTGGGCCGAGGTATAGCCGAGGCACACATACGTGAGGCCATCAATGCTTAGTTGTGGCCAAGGCTTGTATAGTACTTTTATCAAACAATGCGCGGAAATCAAAAACACAATTTTACTTTTTAAATTCAATGATGAATTACGAACAATAATAATTTTTCACGGGCCATAATGTTCGTTTGTTTTTTTTTTTTTTCAATAAACAGCTTTCTATTTGCAAGCCAGTTCGAAATTTAAATAAAACCTTTTATTAGTTACCTCCTTGGTAGCCATGTTTCGAAGTAAAAGGTTTATATTTAAATTACAGGACAGATATGAGTTTACATAGTAATTTATCTGGCCGCAAAACACGACAGATATGGATTTTCATACAACTTTTGCCGGCCGCTACCCGCATGTATCTTGGCCAGTACGGCAATTTTGATTTATCTCGAAGAAGATTGTCAAAATAATGCTCACATTTCCAAGCATGTTTGAGAAAATAATATTAAAGACAAACAATATAAATCTATTCTCAATTTGACCACAGATTAACAATAAACAAAAAAGTATATATGAGTGTGTGTATCAAATACATGGTAGTGTGTGTAATGTTGTCTTTATTGATTTAATGTATTTTTGAATGCATGATTTAAAAAAAATATTAGCATTATACACTCCTTCTTTATATAAACTATAACCGTGCTAAATTTCATCCGCGCAGTTTTAAAAAGAGGCACAAAGTCTTTACTTCATGTATTAATATATAGATAACATCGGTTTAACCAAGATCTAAAAAAAAAGGACAAATGGTATGTAATTGTCATCGATAATTTTCTCAATTTGAGAATTATAATAATTTTTATTTAGTTTATATTTGTTAATATTAAAACTGTTCTATCAATATTTACAGTCATTAGGTCGTCCTGAGTCAATGCATGAAGCAAAATATTGCTGTATGTAATTATTTTATCATTATTAGGATAAATTTATTCAATTTAGACAATTTTCTCAATTTGAGAAAACAACTTTCTAAATGTTTGTATAATTTATATTAAATAAAATTTTATTATCATTGTTTACAGCTGGTCCAACCTGGACCAATGCAAGAAGCAAATGCTATCGCGTGAGGTATGTAATTCTGCTCATAATTCCCACTGAAGATATGTGACCAGGGTCCTTTTGCAAAGACAGCCACGTCTTCCCCGCCGTGAGTCTCGCGGGATATAGGTACTAGGGATGGGTATGTAAAGTTGAGACTCTCTGTAAAAAAAAAATGTATGTTTAAATGCACTTAAGAAATAATAATATTAAATTAAAACAAATTTAAATCATTTTTGCCTGCCAAGCGTGGCAACTATTGGCAAAACTACCTCTATGATGAGAAGTCTATGTTCATTAGTGAACAGTTAACGGTTGATATGATGACGACAACGATGACGACGACGATGATGATGATGACGATGATGATGATGATGATGAAAGAAAATTAATTATACAGAAACATTATAATTTTATTACTTCTATTCTATTATTAACCTATGATGTTCCACTGTTGGGGAAAGGTCTACCCCATCTTCTTTCAAAACTTCCTGTTCTAAGTCACCTTAAACTACTTCTTTTTAAATGTGTCTATTAAATAATTAACAGTAATAGTAATTAGACCCTGTGGTCCCGGCATAGAATAGGCCACCCCCATTACTAGCCATGTGCCATGTCAGGTCGACCTGTGGTTCTCCCTAGAAACCATCCTGGTTAATTCTAGTTGAATTCATTAGGATGGACTAATTGACCTGCTTTCATCCTCATATATCATCTCCAACTGGTGCCCCGCCAGTATATACCGATACCGCAGGCGGGGTTACCATATCATTATCATTCATTAAAAAAAATAGGCCACCCCTTCCTTTCCCGTGGGTGTCGTAAGTGTCTGCTAAGGGAGGCCGAGGGATCGGCAGCAGCTAGTATAATATAAGTGACACGCAAATGTATAATGTTTACGAAACAGAAATGTCACTTGTCATATAAACTGACAAACTAAAGGACAGGCAGCATAATATAATATTATATAAAGAAAAGATGTGTAGAAACAATTTCTTTTAAAACGTCATCCTTTAAGGCTATGAAGCATTTTTTTATGCAACAAACAAACTCACTTTCACATTAACAATATTAGTAAGGATTAATTTACAAACTTTACTCGAAAACACTTAATCGAATTACCGGTAATTACTGAGTTTATTTAATAGAGATTTTATTCCATTTAAGAAAAAATCCGAAATTAAATGTGGTACTCACTTATGTCTTCTAATTCTAGATTAGCTCTGCCATATTGTACATCACTTCTGTATCCTGGACCGTTGGCATAGCTTAGTGTCGTGTATGGAAGATTATCTGACGCGTTCATCTGAAATACATTTTGAAAAATAAAAAAAAAAGTTAATTAACGATCAGGAAATTTTTAAATATACTCGTATCTATCTACCTAATACTAAATAATATCTAGTGGGGGGAAAGGGATTGTTAGCAATGGAATTTGTCAGCCCCATTGTTAGCAATTTAGCCTATTAGGTTGACCTCCACGTGGCAACCATCGTGAACAATTCTTGTTGAATTCGTCACGATGGGCTAACTGACCTGTTTCATCCTCATCTATCATCCTTCACTGATGTCCCGCCCGTGTATACCGTTAGCACGGGTGGGGTTACTATTCCATTATCACCCATTAAAAGAAAAATAATACCTAGTTAGATTTTGCTATGAATAAAACGACTATTTTAATCGCAAATAAATTTTTCAAAATGTTGTGTTAAAAAATAAATCAAATTTAAAATGTCAGGTGATTTGATTAGAATTATTTTGTTTAATTCCGCTAACATTAGTATGTGTGTGACTGCCAACACTCGAAGATTGACCACCACTATTACTATCAGAAGTTCTACATCCTTCCATATTAGCCATCAATTGCCGACTGCCATTTTGTTCATGCACGTGTTGCGACAAGTCTTTCATCTCTTAACGTGGCGTTTTCAAGCAAATTATTAGATCGCTACTCGGAGTCTACGTTAACCATTCGGCATCCAAACTCTAAATGACAGTCAGATACTGATGTCTAATACGAAAGCTTGGGGGGAAAGGGATTGTTAGTAATGGAGATTGAGAATCCCATTGCTAGCAATATACCCAACCAGGTCGACCTCCTCGCGGTTCTCCCTGGAAACTATCATGATTAATTCCTGATGAATTCATCATGATAGGCTAACTGGCCTGTTTTTATTCTCATCTATCACCCTTTACTGGTGCTTCGCCAGCGTATCCCGTTAGCGCAGGCGGGGTTACCATTCCATTTTCACCCATTAAAAAAAATACGAAAGGTTGTGGAACTTCTTAGAGCAATTGTGGTAGTCAATCTTCGAGTGTTGGCAACCACACACATACTAATGGTAGCGGAATTAAACAAGATAATTATAATCAAATAACCAGTGATATGGACTTCCGAAAGAAAACACCTAGTTCAGTAAAATGATTTATTAAAATATATTCTAAGTATTATTTTAGAAAAAAGGAAAAAGAACTGAAACACTGACTTCGGTCGTGTCTAAACCAGTTATTTCGATTTAAAATACAAACTACTTTGTCTATTTTGATGAAACTTCAATAAGATCAATTTGAATGTATATCCTTTCAAATAAATAAAAAAAAAAAGAATTTTCTAAATCGGTTTATAAATAAAAGAGTTTTTCAAAAAATATATAAAAATTGAGAATTTGTTCCTTTTTTGAATTCAGTGGAAAAAATAATAAAAATAGTAACAATCCTATATACCTTATTAGTAAATCCAAGGATATCCGTCCCTCGCTTGCTATATCCACTGTAGGTCATAGTGTGGCTGTGATCTGAAGTCACAACTATCAAAGTCTCTTCGGGGTCAACCATTCTTAAAGCTGCTTCCACCGCTTTAGCAAACTCGGCAGTTTCATCTAGCGCTTTACGAGCTTTGGTTTCGTGGTGCGCCGTGTCTATTCTACCACCTGAATTAATAATAACAATTTAAGTGTATTCACATCAAAGGTTGTTGAATTATATATATAGATATATAGACATGACATTTTTGGAAATAATTAAATTTATTTCTGGTTCATACTGAAACTTACCGAACAGTGTGGCAACGACGGAGTTATCTATCAATTTTTGGGCAATCCTTTTAATATAATAAATGCGAAAGTTCGAAAGGATGGATGTATCTTTATTACTCTTTCATGCAAAAACTACCGAATGGATTTGAATGAAATTTAGTACACGAGTAGGTTTTATCCTAATTTAGCGTATAGAATGTAAACTTTATGTACTGATTTATGAGGACCGAGTTGCAGGATACAGCTAGTTTTCAATATTTCTGATTTCAAAAAGAAGTATATTATTACTAAAAAGTTAATCATTCTAGAAGATTCTTATAACTCTGTCATTGAAAATTTAGATTTTGATAACAAAGAAGTATTTCAAGAAGTGTATTTTGAATTTTGCAATAGGTAAGTACAGGAGTACAAGAAATAGGTATGAAACTTTTAAACGACTTTACAGAACTTTTTTAATATACAAACAGAAATATTGAAAAATGTTTACATTTTATTGAAAATTGTTAGATAATTGTGGGATTGTAACATTTTGGAAAGTTTTGGTGTGTATTCTCTTAAGATAATAAAACAGTATCACCGTTCAGTCCTTTACCATAGTTTTTTTGTAAACCACAAAGGTCTTAAAATCGAATTTGACAGACATATCACATAGCTTAAAAAACCGATAACGTTCTGAAATGATGATGGGATCCGGGATGAAACGTTCTTGAGTGGTGACCCCGTACAGGCAAATGTACTGTAGAATGACCCCCATTAGATGAATCGTTCCTTATGTCTTTGGAAGAGACTTAGGTTCACCAGTGGACAAATAATGGCTAAGATGATGATGCTGAAACTCACCTTCAACAAATAAGAAGTATCCATTTTTATTCTTTGATAGTAATTCAATAGCTTTCACAGTCATCTCGTTCAAAGACGGATCGTCATTGTTCGCTTCTAAATTATAAGGCATATGATCTGGGGAGAACAGTCCCAGAACGCTATTATAATCTTCTGTATCGAGATTCATCAGATCGTGTCTGTTGTAAATGTACTTGGCGACGACTCCTTGAGACCTTTTTGCATGCAGCCACTCTCTGATCAGGTCTTTACCATCACTCCTGTGCCCGTGGAAACCTTCGGAATCTCGTTCCTTTTTCGATATGAAGTTCTTTCTACCTCCACCAAAAACTACCTAAAATGAAACAGGTCGATTCTCAAGTCTAAATTTTTAATTTGATATTACAATAAAATTGCTATTCTAAGGACTGGTACATATTAAATTTATAATAGTTTTCAATCGAAGTTATTTTAAAATTAGTTGTTATTGGTGATCCTTACGGACCTAATTATTTTCATATTTAGACACGTAATTATTTTCCCTAAATTATTATTTTAAAATTTGGACATTTCATTTTAAAGTTTCTCTATGTTTACACATATTTAGATTGACATTTGGGACTTGAAGAGATGCTATTACGAGTAAATAGTAGCTATAGTCAAAGACGCCGTTCATTTCAATCCTACCGTGACCACGACGACAATAAAAATCAGGTATGTAGGTGCTGTTTACCGTTAATGTGTCGTAATAATGTATATAAAATGTGTTACCAGAAAGAGACTTTTTACAAAAGTAATTTGCTTGAGCACCTCCGTCCCATTCGTGTTTCAACCGTGAAGCAGTTGTATTTGCATGGCTTAGTTTCGGTTTGAAGGGTGGGATCTGGCAGTGGATTTACAGGGTACAGAGGAATAACATTTGAGTCCTTAGGAATGGTAATGCATGGGGGGTATCATGGACGAAACAGTATACTCTGTTATGTCCATGGTACTTCTCATGTTTATAGGCGATGGGTACTACTTTCCATCAGGTGGGCAGTCAGCTTGTTTGCCATTCTATGTTGCGTAAAAAAATGTTAACAACCTGTAAATTGGGCATTAATTCTATAGATACTATATGAGATAGAAGGCTTAGGTTACTTTTTATTCCGATCATTGAACATAATAATAATAATAATAAATAATTTCGCACAATAGAGATGTATCCAAGGAGTATTTATATAGAATGTGCGTATATAAAAGGTGGCCTTATCGCTAAAAGCAATATTTTACAGACAACCTGGCATAAATAATGGATAAGTACAGAGAGAAAGGTAAATGGCGCAAGTCAGACACAGTAAATACAAAAAAAGAATCAAACAAAATTCAAAATACTCTAAATATAAAAATAAGATTACAATACATAAACATATATATATAATATAAATAATAATACATTAATATAAATACATTAATATACTAAATAGATCAAGGTAAATTTCACACGTAGTAAACGTCAAAGCATATTAGAGGGATAGGTAATGAGATCCCAATGACGCGGACAACGTCGCGGGTAAAAGTACTATCTATTATTCTCATCTTCATGTACAATATAGTATATTTGTTATTTATATGTATGCAAGTATATTTCTTATCATCGCTACATAGTATAAAACAAAGTCGCTTCCCGTCTGTCTGTCCCTATGCTTAGATCTTTAAAACTACGTAACGGATTTTGATGCTATTTTTTTCAGTAGATAGAGTGATTCAAGAAAAAGATTTATACATGCATAATACAATAGAGAAACACTGATAATTTTAGATGTTTTTAATGTGATGTCGTAAATACATTTTTTGCGCTTACATTGCAAACGCTGGCTAAACCCTACGAGATAGATCAAAATAACGTAGTACAGTATTACACACCTTTAGAAAGTCTACAAAAAAGTTCGCTATGGTATATGTCTCTCTCTTAGGACTAAACATTTTTACCACATTTTTTATCCTTTAGTTGTTACGAGAAATTATAGCTTATTTACGAAGCGATTTTAAGCCATACAGCATTAATCCCTATCTAATTAAGTACATTAAATACATTGTACATTTATATAGATCAATGTGGACCTTTAAAGCATGTAATTTAAATGAATCTGATTTAAGATGCAGGGACATAGCGGTTGCGGCGGTACCGGCCGGGTGGCAGGCGGCGCTATTTAGTATCAGTATTGCACCCTTGCGAAACCGGGGCGGTCGCTAGTCTATATATATATTTATTTGTTTATACATGTAAATTTTAGTATGTATGTATATCAATAATTACTAGTACCGTATTCGTATATTCTTACACTTCCCTAAGGTTTATTGGGAGAGAACGCTTTTAGCACGAAGTTCGTCTTATACACATACATGTACTAATAAATAAATAAATAAAAGCTAGTTTATAATATTAGTAGAATAATATCGTGTCTATAAGTATTTGGTATTTTATTATTAAACTTTCATAATAAATGCTCTATTGAATAACTCTAAGTCGATATACGAATAAGTAATGAAAGAATTGAGCCGAAAAGAACAAGATTATTCACGCATAACTTTAATTAAACTTTTACGAGTTAAGAAATACAAGGGATTTAAACCTTTCATTAATGGAGGAGTAAAGTGGGGGGATTATTGTTAAATTAAATGTTTAATTTCACTACTAAAAGTTAATTAATTTTCATCGAAACGTTATTAAATTGTTGTAATTATAAATTTATGGTTCCTTGAATAGGGCATTTAATTTTCTTTTTTATATTGTTGTCAAGAACTTGTACTCTATTGTGTATTTATTAAATTTATTTATTTATACTTCATTGTACACAAAAAATTACAAATATATAATATATATTAAATAAAGATGTACAACAGGCGAGCTTAACTTTGTAATAGTTCTCTTCCAGCAAATCCTGAGTGGAAAGGAGTGTTAATTACCAACGGGCAGTACAATAATAGGAGGAAACAGTATAGTTGTTTCTATTAAGAAATAACAGATGTATTGAGATATATATATATATATATATATATATACACACCAGGTAACTCATATAATTAAAATATTTTTTTTTATACAACTTAGAATGGCAAACAAGCTGATGGCCCACCTGATGGAAAGTGGTTTTTTTTTTTTTTTTTTTTTTTTTTTTTTATAGAACTTAGAATGGCAAACAAGCTGACGGCCCACCTGATGGAAAGTGGTAACCGTCGCCTATAGACATGAGCAGTACCATGGACATAACAGAGTATACTGTTTCGCCCATGATACCCCCCATGCGTTGCCATTCCTGAGGACTCAGGTGTTATTCCTCTGTACCCAGTAAATTCACGCCATATCTCACCCTTCAAACCGAAACACAGCCATGCAAACACAACTGCTTCACGGTTGAAACACGAATGGGACAGAGGTACCCAAGCAATCGACTTTTGTACAAAGTCTCCCTCTGGTAACCGTGGTAACCGTCGCCTATAGACATGAGCAGTACCATGAACATAAACATAAAATATATTTGACTGATATATAAATTAACTGACTCACGTTGATTTTTTTCCCAACTCGTCCATTCACGAGCTGTGTGGCAATGTCGTCGCAACGCAGACCGTGCTTCGGTAGGTCGGAGTCTGATTCCCATTTCCTGTCAGCCGAGTGAGCGTAAGAGGCCGCCGGTGTGGCGTGAGTCACACGCGTGTTCGTCACTAAACCTGGAATTTATATATTATATTACTTTATTTATTATTAACTAAATTTACAATAATCATAATTAAGATTGTGTTGAAAAAAAAAACGACTACCGTGTCGGTCCCGGCATAGAATGGGCCACCCCTTCCTTTCCCATGGGTGTCGTAAGACGCGACTAAGGAAACTTTTGGTCGAGGGATGGGCAGCAGCATCCCTCCTAAAACATGTCTAAAAACCTAATTGCGGTTGCCAATTCGCCTGCCAAACGTGACAACTACTAGCAAAACTTCTCTTACGAGGAAGGCTTATGTTCAGCAATGGACAGCAAACGTCTGAAGTAATTATAATAAAAAAAAACTTAAATTGTCGCAAACAATGACTTTAAGTGGACGAAGTCGCGGGTAAAAGCTAGTTGGAAATGATTTGTATGCATTTATATAGGAAATTATACTTCTGACTTACTCGGCTATCGATAACTTCAAGGTTTTACTGTGTAGCATTCTCTTCCAGTTAAGCTTTGAGAAGATTATAATTATACAGTGAAAAGTATTGAAAACATACATATATATGTAACTAGTTTTTAATCGTGACTTTTTTTGTATGACTAGGATATATTGATCAAGATAAAAGTAAAAAAAATAATTTAATTAATATGGTAATTGAAAAATACTGTGACCATTGGTGTCAAACACATAAACAAATTACATTTATATTAAAAAAAAACACAACCAGTGTATTCTACAATTTCAAAATCTAAAATCAAGTAACCGTTTACTATCAACACTATCGATGTCTTAGTATTCTTCAATAACGTTTGTCTTGCTTCGTTTACATCACTACAATTGGCGCTAAAATTATTATTTTTTTATTCTTCTTCTTTTCCTTAACGGCAATCGGTCGCCATTTTTACGACCATTTCTGCCAGCGTTATGTATAAAAGTCTCGTAAATCGAAAATTATTATTTTTCTACAAGTAATATTCAAAGCACACAACAATCATAACGAACAATTATGCGTTGATCTATCGCATATGAGTATTTATGTATATTTAAACTATAGCTCTTCAATTTAAACTTCCTTTAAAGTTCATCATTCCCGCCAATTTTTTAAAACAGATCCTATTTCTTTATTAGAAATGTTTATTCGTGTATTCGAATTTCAAACATTCAAATATTTCTTTTTAGCATTATCACTGGCCAGTTATGTAAACTTGTAATTAAAATATTTACGAGTAATCTATGTAAAAATTTAATATTTCGTTGCCGTCGACAGTTTGCATTTTTTTTTATCCCGGAAAATGAACGTTTTTTGTAGTGAAAGAATTTCATAATTCTGCGTCATTAAGCCCACGCAGACTTTGCAGACACAAACAGGAGCAAATACGAATAAAATTGTAAATTATCTGATATTGTGTAGGATACATTTTAATTACTTAATAGAATATTATGTACTCGAAAAGAGTAATTAAATTTAAAAAAGAAACGAGTGTTCCAATAAATGTTTTAGTTTATATATAATTTTTTATACCACGAAGTTGGCACTCATAAATTAATAAAAATAAATGACTAATTAAGGTATTGTAATTAGGAGTAATAAAAAGTTTGGTTAGACGTATTATAACATTTTATTTTTTAAATATTACTAAAGAAATCTTAAAAAAATATATTGTTGGTTTACCAGTACTCTTGCCGGCTTTTTGCGCCCAGTCCATCAGCCCAGTGACCGAATTGTAGCCGTCCCTTTGTCCAGCGCAGTCGCCCCGCTTCACTGCGGCACTGAGGCCCACTGTCCCACTGTTGGCCTTCACACCGGTCAGGTACGCCGTCCCGCTGCAAGCCGAGTCCGCTACATTATTGTCGACACAGTATGTCTGTAATATGGAAACCACAGCTCACTTACTTTGTTATACTTTTTTTAAGGATGAAAATGGAATGGTATTGGTATACTCTGACGGGGCATCAGCGAGAGATGATAAGTGAGGAGGAAAGCGGATCAATTAGTCCACCGTGACGAATTCCATAAGAATTAACGACAACGGTTTCCAAGGGGAATCGCGTTAAGATCGACCTGATAACGTATATTGCTAGTGATATGGCTGTTAGACCCCATTACTAGCAATCCCTTTCCCCTCTATTGTCCATCGCAAGTTTGACTTTTTTTGGTAAGTAAATAATGTCTTATTGAAGTTTAACCCTTAAATACCTGAAGTTTCAAATTTGATACCGGGGTTATAAATAGCATTGGGCGCCTACAATCGATTTTATTATGATATTTGGCTGTTTACATGTTACCAAATGTTTTTTTTCAAAATAAATAGTATATAAAAATATCGTTTTGATTTTTATACTATTTTTCCCCATATATTTTTTTATTTGATTTAAAATAATCAGGCTTTTAAGCGTTAATTTTGAATGAGATACCACTCTGATTCCTATTACCTTAGCTAATCCCGTGTATGGAAATGCTTCAAAGCTTAGTCGCAATTCTTCACCATAATGCCCGTACTTCTGGCCAAGGTACACCCTAGTAGCAGCAAGGGTGGTGATACTCATACCATCGCCCAGGAACAGGATAACGTTCTTCGCTGTTCTTTTATTAAGAGGAGTGAGGACCTGGAAAATATATTACTGTATTAGTATAGAGCTCTTCAAAAAAAGAGAGTATTAAAGGTTTTTTTTAATGGATGATTAATGGAATGGTAACCCCGCCTGCGCCATCGGTATACGCTGGCGGGGCACCAGTGAAGGGTGATAGGTGAATAATGAAAAAAGGCAGGTCTGTCAGCCCATCGTGATGAATACACATGGAACTCAGCACGATGGTTTCCAGGGGGAACCGCGTAGAGGTTGACCTGACGGGGTATATTGCTAGCAATGGGACTGGTAGCCCGCATTACTAATGATCCCTTCCCCCCAGTATTAAAGGGTTGGCAACGCGCACGTGACACCTTTAGTGTTGCAGCCGTCTACAGTGACCGTTTACAGTCAGACGGGCTGTATGCTGGTTTGCCACGTTCGTAGTACAAAAAAAATTACATATTTTTTATATTCACTACAAACTACAAATATTAACAAGTCCCCATAGTATGTTAGAAATGAGGATATATATATATATATATATATATATATATATATATATATATATATATATATATATATATATATATTATTTATTATTTATTATTGGCTTTTACACAAGTGACCGGGATATGTTCACTGACCGGGATAAAAAGTAGTCTATATCCTTTTCCATCTCATATAGTAAATGTATACCAGATTTCATAGCGACTGGTTACGCCGTTAAGTCACTATTAAATAACAAACAAACGAATTAACTTTCACGTTTATAATATTAGTAAGGATTAGCCATATATACAAAAAAAAATTTACACTGAAGGCAGCCATTCCTGAGTTCCATGCTAGCAATATATTTCGTCAGATCGACCTCCCCTGGAAACCATCATGCTGAATTTCAGGTGTTCAAAAAAATTACAAAAAACAGTACAAAAGGCTGACTTAATGCTATATAGCATTCTATCCCAGTCAATTTATGGCAAATCAGAAATGTAATTATGTAAGGGAAAATTGAAAATTGTTGCAAATAAATAGTTACAATATTCTATTTTAGAAAAAAAAAAAACAGACAATGTAGGTCTGCAATGGGATACTTAAGTGTTATTATTACTCAAAATACTTAGCCCCATTTTGCTACTTCAAATCTGATGAAAAATAGCACTTTATGCAAATTAAGTTGCTTATCACTACGCCACAGACGTTGGAATGTCAAGACATATTATGTTTTCTTTTTTTATTTACATTTTCTTGATATTATTTAGTTAACAAGCGCATTTTACTTTGTAAATTAAATATCATCAAATCTTTAACTGCCTTTAACTGTTCACTTGTAAACATAAGCCCCCCTTTGGGGGGTTTTTCCAGTAATTGCGACGATTGGTAGGCGGATTGGTAACCGCAGTTAGGCTTTGGAGATACTTTAAGATGGTTATTGCTGCCCATCCCTCGCCCTCCTTTAGTCGCTTCGTACGATACCACAGGAAAGGAAGGGGTGGCCTATTTTATGCCTGGACCATACAGGAATAAAATTAACAATATATAATAAAATATTGTGTTTCATAAAAAAAAAATTACTTCAATTGTGACAAAACTAGTAAGTTTGATTTAAATACTAAATTACCGATTAATAAACCGATTTTGATAAAATTTCTATGGGACCAAACTGTAAGTTTATTGTATCAGTTTATCCCATTCGTATTTTTGCCATGAAACAATTATATTTGCATGGCTGTGGTTTTGTTTACAGGGGGCAACACCATAGTCCTCAGGAATGAGGAATAAATCAGGAATGTATTCTAAAATGTCCATAGTGCTGTTCATATCTATAGGGGACGATTACCAATTTCCATCAGGTGGACCATAAGGTGCTATTCTAAGTTGCATAAAAATAGATTCTCTTGATTTCTTCTTTTTCATGTCTTCAGATTTAAACCTAATTTAATTAAATTTATTTACTTTCAAGTCTTTGACTTTTTTTGTTTCATTATTTCATTATTCCTTTGATTATTTCATTACTAAATAAGTTAAGGAGTAATATACTGGTGATGATGGATCGAATTACCTTTGTTTTGAGTGTCCATTGAGCTTGCATGGTCCAGTGTTCTTTATTCCTCTCGTCGAAGGACGATTTTGGTAATGCATCTGAAATAGACAATTTCCATAAATTAAATAAGAAATATGTATGTCGTTACATGTTCTTAAGGAGGATTCATGTTAGGCAGCACTCTACGTGGATCCCCCCGGAAAACATCGTGGTTAGTTCAAGTCGATGGACATCACTATGGACTAACTGATGTACTTTCATCCACACATACCGTGTCTCACTAGTGCTCGCCAGTATATACCGATAGTACGAGATTACTATTTCATCCATTAAAAAAATAGATTGAATAGTAGATATGGACACGTGATGTGTTAAGACGAGGAGCATGTTTTAAGAAAGCTATTAAGTATGAATTTGTATGGTTATAAAGGCAGAGGAAGACTTAAAAAGACATGAATGGATTGTGTGAAAGATAATATAGCCAGAATGCAATTGAATGCGGATGTGACTGCGAATTTCTTTAGTTAAAGTTTAAAAAAGTTACTCTAATAATTAAAGATTGTATCCCAAAAAAAAAAAAAACGATTTCAAATAAACTATATTACTGAATCAATTTTAGTAAAATTTCTATGTAACCAATCCTAACCAATCTTTTCAGATAAAAAAAGAATTTCCCAAATTGGCTTACAACTGACGGAGTTATGAGGTAACAAACATAAATAAAATACAACCGAATTAATAATCTCTTTCTTTTTTAAGTCGGTTGAAAAATATCCAAATGATAGTGAAACCTATATCAAATCCATTCCGTGGTTGAGAAGAATTAAAAGGAGAAACAGATAGACGTGGTGAATATTTTATGTTTATACTATTCAAAAGTTAATATTTTCTTAGGTTTAACTGAAACCAGTTAAATCGGAAACCTGACCGGAAGCTATCTACGTATGTGATACGCAATTTAACATAATCTTCAATTAACATTCAAGTTAACAATTCAGTGAATCTCATTAACCTAAAAACGTTTACATGTAGAGTAACCTCCTGTTAGTAATTACGTAGAAATTTTCACCGAGCGAAATAATTAGGCGGAATCTACACAATTTAATGTTTTCATGTGATTTTCGAAGAGGAAAATTTCATTAAAAGTTTCCTAACGGCAATGTAATTATTTAGGTTTTAATTTTATTTCAAATTAAGAACACGGTTAAATGTCGAGTTAGTACAGAACGATGGAAATTTCAAACAGTTAACATTCTATCTTGTTAAACGAAATTAAGTTAGTGGTGTAGTATTTTTAATTCACTACGTTTTTATCCTAAATCTTATTTTTAGTTTTACATTCGGTTAACTATTTTATTTTATATATGTTAGAATAGTTTTAACTTAAAAAGTATATAAATTGGTAATGTAAAAGAGAGAAAATATAATAACACATATGTTAAAGCGAGATAGACAAATAGGATACTTACCTAAATAATATAAGCTCGAAGCTGATTTGGCGGCAGTGTGAATAAAACAAGTTTTTATTATTTTTACGTTTAAAAGTGGAATGAGTTTTAAGTGAATGTAGTTAATAGTTGCTGGGACCACAGTCCATGCTCTATGCAGGGCCACCCTTCCTTTACTGCGGATGTCGTAAGAGGCGATTAAGGGAACTAAATGGTCAAGGGATGGGTAGCTCACTCTGCGTGTTCTGCCTATTGAACAACGGACTGTGCTAGGGGGAAGGGATTGTTGAGTAACGAGGAAGGTAGATCCCATTGTTATCAATATACCCTATTAGAGACGACACTCCACGCGGTTCGCCCTGGAAACCATCGTGACTAATTTACCGTTGAATTCGTCACGTTGGACTAACTGACTTGCCTTTTTATCCCCATCATTCATCCCTCACTGGTGCTCCGCCAGTGTATACCGATAGCACAGGCGAGGCTACCATTTCATTATCATCCATTAAAAAAAACAGACTGTGCTCAGATTTGTTCAATATGATGCCTACAGCCACCTTCTACCATCGTACAGCTCGCCATTGACAGGGAGTTCACCCCCATACCTTAGAGTCTTAATGGTTGTGGTACAGCGCGGTTTCAGAGATGTTTCCTTCCACAAACCCTCAGGTTATGGAATGAGCTCCCTGTCGAGGTTTTTCCAACAGACTATAGCATGGGATTCTTCAATACCCTAAGTTTTGCAGCCGTTCATAAGCTACTTTAACTGCATACTATCAGGTGGGCCGTATGCCTGTTTGTCACGTTAATGCCAAAAATGTATATCATTTTTGAGATAAGTTAAACATATCCATATTTATAAACAAGCATCTACTGTAATGTTGTTTTCATTCATAAAGAAACGTAGGTATGATTCAATAAAAAATGAACGATTCGAATTGAACTTGAAATTTCGTCACAATATTTTTTTTTTCTTCACTTCCAGGGCAAGGCCTTAATGTCGTTTGAATTTCTAAACACGGATTACGTGATGTTATGTGTATTGAAAGCGCTCTGGGAGTCTCGCCTTGGCCTTGTTCGAATGTCAATGACATTATAAGATTTTTATTTAAGGTGACGTTGTATCTTTAATCTTAGGCTCGCGATCAGCCCTAGTTTATGGCACTCTGATGATCGACGAAAAAGAGGCCAGTCTCCATTCAATGTTGCCCAAGCTGAGTCCACAGCGTCTAAAATCTATACATTGAGTCCCCCAATCGTGAAGTTCACTGGGATCTATTTAAAGCTAATTTACTCAGGTTATTAAAAAATATAGATAGATCACTGCGTATAATAATGCTGAAGCAAGCTTAATACCAGAGGGACAGTGTACTTATATAAGATGTCTCCACGGACACTTACTGTATATATATATATATTTTGGTGGATGAATATGGAGTGGTCACCTCGCCTGCGCTAACGGGATTTGCTGGCGGAGCACCAGTGAAGGGTGATCGATGAGAATGAAAACAGGCCAGTTAGCTCATCATGATGAATTCAACAGGAATTAACCATGATAGTTTCCAGGGAGAACCACGGGGAGGCGACCTAGTTGGGTATATTGCTAGCAATGGGATTTTTAGTCTCCATTACTAACAATCTCGTTCCCCCCAATATCTGTATATTAAGTTCTTCTGGACATTTTTTTAATAGGTGATAATGAAATGTTGATATCATCCCGGTATAACTGTATACTAACGGTACACGCTGGCGGGGCACCAGTGAGGGATGATAGGTGTAGAATTTCACTAGAAATAACCGCGATGATCAGAGGAACCACGTGAAGGCCGACCTGAGATGTATTGCTAGCAATGGGGCAGTTAGACCCCATTACTAACAATTCCTTTCTCCCCTTTTCTGGAGATTGATGGCGAAAAAAAGGTAATCACCCACTTCGATTCGCCGATCGGTCTGATATCTATTTTCAAATATGTTAAAAGTATATTTGGATAGCAAACTTTTAACATATTCGTTATTGGACCAGTATATATGTATATACCTCCACAGAAATGCATCGAAAAGAAACTGGCCAACTTTTTCGTAAAATTTTCCGTGATAAATAGTTTTAGTGTAGAGTTATTCCTTTATAACTTCTATATTTATTTTGTCTTATAATTTCTGCATCTTTTTAATGAGTAAACATTAATTTTATTTATTAAATAATACATCAGGATACATTTTATGCGTAAGTATATATAATACTGGTAAATAAAACAAGTTAGCTAATTTGACAATTAGCTGGCAAAAAGTTGACCCGTTTTTGAGGCTTGATGCTCTATCTATATAATATAAGTATTAGATACTCGTATTATAACTATAATATATTGTTATATATTACCCAACCCTACATTGTCTACTCGTGTTTTCACCGGGAGTAGTTGTATCTTGGTGCTACAGTTAATAATTTATTTTAATATAAATAATTTACATTTATGAATCCACATCATTTACAATATCATATTTAAAATTATAATTCTTCTTAGAAAAATATTAAAATTAATTACCCAACAACACGATTGATTACCACAGAGTAAGTAATCAAAATGTTATTTTAAGAGTCGACACTGTCCTTGTATTGACGAAACTAGAACATGAATCTATGCAACCATCTAAAAGTATCAATACATTAAAATAATTTGATGTTTATAGTGTTGTTGTTTAACTATTATAATATCTCTGTTCGAAATATCGATATTGATTGGTATGATAATATATTTAGTTACTTTATAGTGTAAAATTTTCTAATTCAATGAAGTGGTTGCATAGATTTTATACAGAGTTTTTTTTTCAAATGCCATGGGTCTGATGATTTCCCGCAAAAATCTCTATTTCTAGTAATCTGTAGATAAAGTGTGGTTTACAAAGGAATTTCTGGACAAAAAGCGGTAATTGAAAAATATTTCGTTGAATAATAATTTTAAACATGTATTGTTTGTTATGATTGTGGTGTGTTTTTAATATAACTCGTAGAAAAATAATTATTTTCGAGTTACGGGCTTTTTATACATGACGCCAGCAGAAGTGGTCACAAAAATGGAAAAGATGACGAAAGGAAGTTCAACAAAGAAATCCATTTTTTAAAACATTTTTTTTTAATATAAAAAGTGGAATTTATTTTTTTTACACTCCTGGCAGCTCAGCTCGACTATTTTGCTGTACTTTGTTAGATTATTTATAATATATTACATAAACTCAGTCCTTGATGTACAAAACCGGTCGCATACCTAAATATTAATTATTTAAATTTAACATAACTGACCAAAAAGACTACGAAAAATTGATTATATATTCGAGTAATTATTTGCACGTCCTTAGTAAAACCAGCTGTTTAAATGTACATATGTATAATTTATAAACGAACGTAGGTAGTAAGTAAATAAAGTTAAAAGTGTTTTTCAGGTAATAATTTTTGTTTATTAACGTACAGCCTTTGTTAATACTATAATCTTAGATTATATAGATAGAGCATCAAGCCTCAAAAACGGGCTAACTTTATGTCAGCTAATTGTCAAATTAGCTGACTCATTTTTTATCAATAGTCTGTATTTATAGATAAAATGTATTTTGACGTATTATTAATAAATAAAATGAGTGTTTACGCATGAAAAAGA